GTCGGAGTGGGCGAAATGGTGTTGTGTGAGGGACGAATGAATAGTGTTAAAATACACTGAAGTTCTGGAAACAGCACTAGCAACGTCGATAACGCAAATTTTCGGTGATACAAACACCGATGGCCTGAAATTTCAGCAAGACAACGCCACTTGCCACAAGTCCGCGCATACCATGAAGTGGTTTGCTGAAAATCATATTGATCTTTTGGACTGGCCACCACAATCACCAGACCTCAACCCGATTGAGCATATTTGGTCCATTTTAAAGAAAAATATCCGCAGGCACTCGATTAGCAATAAACAAGCTCTATTGACCGCGTTACAGCAGGAATGGAAAAATATATCAAGAGAAGAATGTTTCAGGCTGGTAGAGTCAATGCCAAAAAGAGTGGCTGCGGTTATTAAATCAAAAGGTGGACCTACAAAATATTAATTATTTTCTTAAAATAAACCATTGTAATCATAAATGCAGTTTTATTTACACTCGCTATGCTAAAACACCCTAAAACTTGTCTTACTGTAGGGTGCCTAATACTTTTGCCCGTGGCTTTTTATTAGATTACTATGGATATTCAACAAATCATTTGTCTTTATCGTAATAAAGTTTTTTCTAATAACAAGGCTGATTAGTTGCGGGAAAAAGTTGAGGAAAATAAGAAATTAATACTGTATGAAAAATATTATTATTTACATAAAATGAAATGTACATTCCTTAATAAATCAAAGTCGGCGGTTCTGAAGTAAAACAAGTTTATTAGGGACAACGTAATTTCATAAACAAATATACGTGATAGGTTCGAATAAATACAAAAGTAGAAGGCAGAAAAGAAAGAACCAAACAAAGTAATACTTATACAAAGAATTACTTGGTCCTTCTTATATTGTTATAATTTTTTTTGTCTTTTCTATACACGTAATTTCTGAGTTGGCCTGATTAAAAACTTTCATTGAAATTATCATCTTAAACTTAACGTTTCTGTAACCTTATTTAAAAATAAATTTCGACCTAATGGCCATCAAGGGCTATTAATAATTCCTTAAAATAGGGATAAGCCAATAGACTTATGTCTTTGATATGTGAATTACTAAGAAATTCCTCCGACAGTCTTGACGTTCACGTGTGGTTCCCATTACCCTCGTCAACGTCAGGAAGATTACTGTCACAATTGATTCCTGATGGTATGCTTTATGTTCCAAGAGTAATAGCTTTAAGCCGTTTCGTAGAATATTTGTCCGTTTTCAGGATTTTTGAGAGAAAAATATAGAATTTCCAGATTCAGTAATGACGGTGTACCGTCAATGGGAGCTTAATGTAAATTTGAAATAACGGTTCGTTTAAAGATAAAGCAAGAAATATAAAAAGCAGATTCACATCACATTCACTTAAAGAGATAATAGTTAACTAGTAGGTTCTGATAACTGTCATTCCAGTGCCTTAATATATAGAAGTACTATTTTCCCATTGCAACTTAAACTGATTTTTTTTAATGAAATTACTTGTGTAACTATTAATTAATACATCATTATGCTAATAATTTCCTGTATATAGTGTCTAAATCGTTGAAATTTTACGATTTGAAGTATGAACAAATGTTTAAGCATTAAGCATAACGATGTAATTTTCTGTTAGGGAAGATTGTTGTATGGGCTAAATAGATACTTCCAGCGAGTGTATGAACATTTTATTATAAAATTATAACATATTAAAATAAATATACGTTTAGTAATATTCTATATATCTTTAGAAATATGGAATATAATTAAAAATGACATAACTTTGATATTAGATTAGCGGTAATGTATTTCTCCTTTAAAGATTCTAATCTGTAGACATAAAAATAAGCAAGTGATTTTAATACTTATTAAAACTTTTAATTTACTTAATTATATTTTACGTTTTATACCACACGTTGATAGGTAAACAGCCCTTCAGGATATTTAGATGAGTCCGGATATTGCTAAATGCGTGACGGTAAGTTTCAGAATACAAGGATGGGAAATTGAAAATATTATTTACAGTCACATTAAAATGTACTTCTCTTGTCTTGAATAATAAAAATAAATACAGTATTTGCTAACTCATTATAAGTCTTTAATATTTTATAATCCTAATCTTGAATTCGATTTCTGTATTTCATTTTCCATCATAATTCAGAGTAAGAATTTATAAGTCTATTTATATCTCATTCCACTACGAATATGAGTATATGAGTCGCGAGTTGACAACACTTTAATCAAAAGAAAATTAAATTATACTCATTTAATTATATGGTCTGTTTATAAGTATTTACTTGCCTTTACCTTTTTACTTAGAGTCGGCATGAGTATGAAACATTTTCGGTGAACAGTATATAAATATATGTACATAGACTTCGTGGAGAATTTTTATATGTATGTATGTATTTTTATATGTATGTAATCCCGTTACAAAAGTTTTAGTTTTATTTTTTTATAATCTTATAGCTATTTTAATGCAGAAAAAGAAATATTTAGCAATATACATATTTATTTTGTTCTGACCAATCACATCTTAGTATTTATATTACCTAAAGTAGAAAAGAACTAATCTCATGTTGTTGTTTCTATGTATTATCAAAATATAGAATACGGATAAAAAGTATACGTTTCGGCAATATATTTGGAGAAATATATTTTAAAAAAAATCGTTAATTATCGGTACAGTTAGGCATTAAGTGAATATACAAAGAAAAATCGTTAGCCATAAAATAATAATTTAAATGTAAATGACGAGCAACATTGACATAATTATACAATGAAACTACGTTTTTGGGATACTACGCGTATTTTTATTAATTCATTTCTATATGATCCCGACGTTCTGAACACTTTTCAGAGACCGTGACGTACAGACACTGACCGGCTGTGATCATGGACCAACATTTTCTTCCGAAAAACTGAGTTTTATTTATAAACAAAATGATTTAAAGTAATATACGCAATATAGTGCAACCGTTTTAGTTATTTTACTTTTAATTACATAATCACAAACAAGCAGAGAAATAATAATTATAAGGAAACATGTATCAATTTTATTACAAATAATTTTCCTGCTATTAAATATTTAGGACTTTGTATATTATGTTATCAATTGCTGTCTAACATACTAAATCGTTTTATTTTTTGAACGTGTTATTACCGCTTTAATTACTATTACTTCCTTTTACCACTGGTCTTAATAGAAGTTTGTAGTACGAAGTTCCCATTTGTTTAACATCAAAACAATAAAAAATATTATAAAATATCAAGTAAAAAATATCATTTGAAAAATTTAATTTTCATAACAAAATCTATTACCTATAGGTACTCATTCTTACTGATATACGCATATAAGATGTTTAATTCATCGGCTGTAGACAGGGCACAATAGTTTGGATCGAGATATTCCGAAGATTTGAAGGTTAGATTCCTGCTCGTTCCTATCGATTTGGCGTAAAATATTTTTTATTCATATTTTAATATCTGCACATAATGAAATAGAAGAAAATTGTAATTATTTTGAACACTTATAATGAAATATGAAAAAGAAAAACTTTAAGACTTGCTTCGGTGTTTCGTTTGATCGTGTTTATTCTAACCAAATAGTATACTTCAGCTTCGTGAACAACTATTATACCATTGAAAGGAAATCAACGATCTACAGTTAATGCAGTTACGAAATAGTGCCGTCAATTTCCGTGATAGTTCTCTGAGAAGCAATTACCAAGTCCCTGATACTCTAATTGATAACACTTATTCCTAGTGCTCTTTAACAGTAACATCAATGCTCGTGCAAAATTTCAATTATTATAAGCTTAATTTATAACATCATTTGATTTATATTCAAGGGTAAATGAAACAAATATTTGTTCTCGTTTATTTTATTAAAAGTTTTATTCTGGGTGAATTAAATTTAAGTCTCTGTACAGACTAGACACTTAATCAAAATACCGATTATCCCGTTAAAAGGAAATACAAACTTTACAACATAAACACAATGAAAATATTGTGAAACAAAATACAATTCTAGTAACCGCTGAGGTTTATATAATATGATTGCCATTTTTATTTTAAATGTTAACCAATTCTTAGCAGTATTATAAATAATACAAAAAACATAGATAGTAAACAATAACATGAAAAAAAGTGAAATGGAATTAAAAAATTTCTTAACGAACAAAAGTCGGCAAACAAGATATTGAAATTCACGTCGTTAAAAGAAAATTACTCATTGCTAGGCGAAGAATTCCATTACAACCTGTTATACCGATAGCTAAGATATTTACATATTTACAAAAAAAACTATTGGTCCTTCTATGTTAAAACTTAAGTTAGAAACAATTATGCCATCTCGTATTTTATTGACTAAGTTTAAAATAAACATACGTGCTTTAATCTAAACGATATTAATTCTAATTTACTGGATTTATACATAAGAATTGGTGTCTTTAAATTTTCACTTAAAAAGTTAAACTTTAAATTTCTTAATGGCAGTTAATATCTTACATTTAGCTTTTATAAAACTACAAGAAACTATATTCGGGGAACTAAATAAATGAATACTTTTTATTAATTTTTATAATTTAACGTCAATGATTTTCTATTTTCAACATAATAGTTATGAATTATTCCATTATAAGGATGGATATGCGGCTGGGTTTAACATTTTTTATAGTATATACATAATTATTACCACTTATTTATTTACAACAATTTACAACAAATACATCAACGCCTCACACACTTTACCTCCAACCAATTCGAACTCTACTAATTTAACGTTTATTGGATATGATAATAATGTTATTGAATAGTTCTCAACGTCATAATCACAAGTAAATTCAAGTCTCATTAGTCACAGTTAACGCCTTCTAAATTGGAGCACGTCAAAGTCAGATATAGTCCGAAACGCACTCTAGAAGGTCCGGCGGGAGTCACACGATCTCGTCGTGGTGAACCACATCACTGCAACTGCCGGCCCGTTGCAGTCAGGCTCGCTGACGTCACACCCGCAACTCCTCCATTGTAACATTAGACTTCGCGTTCAACTGCGTATTCTTCTTTGTGAGTGTATTCGTGTTTATCATTTGCATCTGGTGAGCAGATAGCAATGGCTGATTTTCTTGTAACTGACCACTAGCTAATGTATTTATATTGGACTTTCCTATCTTAGGAGGTGGCGGCGCACGGGGTAATGTTGCCATCCCTGCGACGTTATTACTTGGAAGATCAGCAAATTCGGGAGGTGGTAACTGGTGGTGAGAGTGGGTGTGGTGATGGCCTAAAATTGTAGCAGGGTCATTTTTGAGACTTGTCTGATAAGTTAACGCACTTTCTAAATCACCACAAATATTGTTAGGCATTTGTCCGTTTTCACCACGTTTCTTTAAATGTGATCCATTTGCGTGATCTTGACCATTCATTCTTGTTTTATCTCTTTGGTAATATACACCAGCGAATATAAGAACGTTAAGAATCAATAAGGAACAGCCTATAGCTATGGTCACGCTCAAAGCGGTCGAGTAAGCAGCAAATCCGTCTTCAGGCGGTGCTGCTGTTGTTGCATCAGATTTGTGAATATCAGTTACACCCGATGTACTGGAAGTCACTGGATTATGTCCACCAACATTAAGGTTTAAGGAAGACGTTACATTTAAAAGTGATAGAAGTGGAACTTTTGTGGCCAATCCGGTGTCCGTCAACAGCATGTCTGTTGTTTTCTTAAACGGAGGAGTAAAAGTTTTAAGTGTTGGCTGCAAGGAAGACTCTTCATGATCTAGCTGATGATGCGATTGAGGTACATCCTCACCACCTGGTCTGTGAAGATCTGGTACCAAATTTAACCAAAATGATAACCTGTGGACAACACCGTGGTTATATTAAGTCTACACCAAATATGTATGCTTTAGCTGCACAAATAGCGTTAAAAATTACCTATGAGCGCGGTAATGATTCTTTAGTTTAGATTTAATGTCAATATTTAAATATTTTTTATGGACGGCCTCATACGCAGTCCATTCGATGTTTTTCAGTCGTACTCTTTCTTGTCTCCCCGCTCGAATTACATCGCTGTCCGGAGCTTCATTTGGATTACTAAAGAACAGGAATAAACAATTAACTCTTATTAGTACCTTTTAGTTTAACTTGTTTGAGAGGAACTTACCCTGACTTTACAAAATTGCCCCAATACAACATAACCGATTCCGACAATGCCACTTCAGATTTGGTATAGTTTCGGGGGAAGTGAGCCAACCCGCCGACTAAGGGTGCTCCAAATATATACGGCAACTCCTCACCGTGTATACACCCTTGACGCTAAGGACACACATACATAGAAAATGCGTTATGGGGCTTGTAAACATCACAACTCAAAAAACCTGCAACTCATAACTCGCAACAAAAGTTAATATGCATAGTTCGTAGTATAATTTTAAAAAAGTATTTTAAAACGTAGTTAAAATGAAATCATTTAAATGTTATGTCAATTGTAAATATCCTACAAAGCAAAATCCAACAGAGTTTATTTGACTTTTGGGAGACGTTTCGATTCAACGATAATATTAAAATATGAAGAAACATTTTCATTTCATATATCGTTCAAACATAAGCTGGTATGATTTTGCGAAAAATTGTATTAAATTTGTGATATATTCATATATTATGAAAAGATCTATATAATAAAGTAAAAGAAAAATATTAAACAAGAAAAAGCTAAAGAATATAGAAAATTTATGTATTGTAACCAACTTCTGGATTCCGATGGAAATGTTACGAAAACAACATTTTAGTACTGAAATATTGCTGCCAGTCCATTTGTCACGCAGTGATTCCTTATTCTTAGAAATATCGGATTCAACATACCGATTTGAACTTCGCAGCGTGGGTTGAATGGTAATGGTAAGATTGATCCTAAATTCTTACATAAATATTGTGTGACTGCGTGTTCTACTTCAATAGAATGAATTGAAACTTGAATTTAGGTCACTACAGAATTTAACTTATCTGAAATTAGTTCTTATAAATATGTCAAAATAATATTGCCTGGTCGGTAGGTTTATTACGATCTTATTTTCCAACATGCTTCTCTAGGACTTGATGAGATTCAAACATAAAATCCATTTTATATTGATAAATAATTATGATAGGTGGCGTCGGAGGAATGTTATATGCATATAAAATTTTATCTGGATTAAGTTATGCCTAAATAATAGACATGTAGTATTCGTAACTAAAATAGGTTCTATAATGAACTATAAATAAATAATTAATCAATTGAAGTTAGAATTATGCAAAAATATTTTTAGTCTAGTCCCATGTATACTTATAATCTATATAGAATATTACTGGAGAGAAATTTATTAACTTTAGTATCGTTGAAAAATATAGAGCGCATGTTATTTCATTTAATACCACAAAAATGATTCCTTAATAAAAGCAAGCTAAGCCAATGGTTAATTAAGACTGGACCGCTATTGAGTTAGTATCTCGTTAGAAACTAGGTAACTGGAGATTTTCCGTAATATTGATATCAGCTTACACTAGCTAACTATCCTATTTATAAAGATTGCGGAACTTGTTCACAATAAACTACAATGTCAAGGGATTTATAACTGTCTTTCCTTATTTATCTCAGCTTAGTTGTTCCAATATATTTTTCATTGAATAAAAGGAATTGAAGCTACTTTTCTTCCATAAAAATCGAATAATTAATTTATTTAACATACTATATACCATGTCAAATAGCAGACTGTAACACTAAATTAGCACACAATAATTTCTAACAGTCTTGTTGACCCAAATTAAAGTTGAAGTAAATTTTTCTCGTTCTACTTTTTAGGCTATCGTTGATTTATAATTTATAATTATTATAAATATTGAGATATTAAGAACATTAAGCTGTCTGATTTCTTTCATACGATCAAAAAACCCTCAAATAAACATATATATTTCCGTAATTACATTATACATTAAAATCAAACGATAATGTCCTTTGCAATAATGTTTTTACAACATATAACACAAGCGTCTTAACGTTAAAAGTAATTACATAGTTGTTATGATAGATGAATCTCAGAATACTAACCAGTTTAATTACTTTAGGTAAATTAAGCGTTCGATCGCTGAACTTTAGACGCAAACAAAAGCTTCGCTAGTTCACGCAACAACTACATATATCCTGTAATTATGATTTTAAATCTTTCAAGTCATGATACACTTCGCTATAAGTTTATTAAATTGTTCTGGAGATGCATATTAATGGATTAATAAAAGACTTATGTATCTTAAACAACAAATATATAAACTGGTCCAAAAACCAATACTATGTATTAACCTCTACGTTCTTTTTTTTTAAAAAAATTGTCTTAATATTAAAAAAGGTAAAATTTTACTGAAGCTGTTCTGTATTAATTGCATATATTCATTATAGAGAAGGAAAACCCTAGATTTCAATGAAGATTTTCTGAAGATATTTGAGTAAAATTGTAAGTATAAACACTGAAGGTGTGTTTTTAATTTTTGTGACTATTTAAAAAAAATGGAATTATAATAATAAAAGTTAAGATTTTTAGGACTATCGATATAAATAAATTAATTGGTTAAACAAATCGCAATTTTTCATACTTCTTGCATTATAAATCTAAAGTTCCATCATACCAGTTATCGCATGAATAAAAAAAAAACAGAAAATCCAGATAATGCTTTTTGGCAAGGCCCGCAAGAAAATAATGTTAACGTTCCAAGTTTTGTAGTAAATTTCGAAAAAGCATTAAGCCACAGCGAACTTCATCATAAATGTTGTATTGAATTTGCCAAGTTTTCATTTTTATATAAAAGCCATTTATAGATTCACAATTGCTTTCATAAATACATAGATTTACAGTAAAAAATTTAAATTTAAAAATTTTATACATTTGACATTATTTATCATTTAATTACTAAAGAGTTATAAATCATATTTTAAATTTAAAACGATTTATGGCTTGCGGCTTTATTTCCCTGAAATTCGTATAATGCTCATGTTTTACGTTGGGTCAGTATGTGTAATTATTAAATTTAATACGAGGGTGTTTGTTAATAGTAGTTTTAATTATAACCTGTGAGTTCGTTTTATTTAAAGACCTTAAATATTATGTTATCTGTTTTAAAAAAATTGTAACGTTAATTGACATCAAATAATAACATACATATTTTATATGTTTTCCTATTTGCCTTTTGCGACTTCGTCCCCTGTTTCTCTCTTTGTTCGACCCCTAGTACAGCGGAGTGTTACTATACTTTCATGTTACCCTACAAACTCTATCATCCAGCAAATGTTGTTTTGAAAACCATTCAGTCGTTCCAAAAGTCTCCTTATAAATAGAAAACAGTCTCTGTACCGAGAATTTTAAAAACAGCTCTTCTAAGGCTTGTTATCATGTAAATAAGCAAAAGCATTTGAGAAAACATATTAACATATAAATATTAAGTAAATATGAATATACATACATGTATTACCTGTGGATAGTCTCCATACTTCGTCTGATAGTCGAAGACGTACAAGTAGGAGTTTCTTCTGAAGGAAGAGTGAGTATCCGCAGTCAGTACGGTCGGAGCAACAACCTGAGCATCACTCAGGGCTTCTAAAGTCTCGTCTCTGTTTAAATAAATGTTATAATACGTAAAATATTTTCATTAATAACAATTAACCTTAAGTATCGCGATTATGTCAAGGAGATATAATTTCATCATATATTTTTAAGATCATTTTATCAAGATTCGTATAATATAGAGTTTGTAGTAATTAAAAGAATTTAATATTAAATTTATAAAATTAAGAAATGCTGTTCAATTTCTATAGTCGTCATTTATAGACTGGTTATTTTTGACAGGTAAAAATTTTAATTTACCAACATAATACAGAAGTACTGTAAAAAATATATACAAAATACATTTCATTCATACAAAAACCGAAACAGACTTTCATCGTTTCACTCTCAATTTAATTTAAAATGAAATTCTTTTTTTATTTTTTTGTTACAATCAACATTTTTATGAAATACAATGAAGACAAAAATTTGCTCTTATAATATTCATGGCATGACAGTTTATAGGTCGAAGCTCAGGATACAACATAACTGTCGTTAAAGCGACATACCTACTATGTATACAGGCTATTCAGATTTGATAAAAAGGAATAGTTATAGCATTTTTGATCACTTATTTATTAAATACAAGTGATGTATTAATTTTATTATTATTAATAAAATAACATTCGTAGTGCGTACTGAAGGTGTCCTTACCTTATATTTATCGGATGTTGAACTGGTCTTTCCCAGTCTGTGTATTCGTTAATAATAGTGGCCAGAATTTCTGATAAGTGATAAGAATAGGTATTTCTAACAAAAGATTTCAAAATCTTCGATCTTCTGTCAGCTTCGATACCATATTGTACATCGTCTCCACTGAAGGCAAAATACGCTTCCGCCTTAGTAACTCCGAGCATGAGGTCATATCTATTAAAAATAAACAATAACTTGTAAAACACATTATATATTATGATTCACTTTACTTCATTTTGTCAATCATGATAGTAATGTACTTAATTCTGCTGTAATTTTTGCAGTTTCGTATATAAAGCGAATAAATGAAAATGAGAGAGTATTTCTAGATTGCATTTATATTAAAACTTTAGTTTTAGAATTTTACTTACTTTGTGAGCTGTGCAATGGCACTTTTACGCATGAGAACCGCATTTATTATGTTGACGGCGGTGGCTCCCTTGCCGAGAGGTGCCCTCGCTGCTTGCCATTCAGAGCTCGGCTCGTGGTTAATGGAAGTATCTCCAGTGTCTACAAAATGTTAAATAAATTAATATTTTACTCGTACCTTTCTTAATTTAAACTAAAATTACAAAAACAGGTAATAATACGGTAATGTTAATTACGTGTAGCCAAACAAAAATTGTTAAGCTGTATTCTATAAAAAATATCTGACATAGATATGTATATTGAATCTATAAAACGAATGATATTTCTTAAATAGAAAACAAAATGTAAAATACATTTTAACGTGTGAAATAATTCATATTATGTTTACTTAAAGTAAAAAATAAACAGAGTAAAAAAATCCAATATCATAACAATCTTTGTAAGAAAAAAAGTTGTTGTACAGAATCAAAAGGATTCCTTGTTGAACCGACTGAGATAACTGAAAACGTCGACGACACGAGGAAGGGAGATGAGAAAACTTTGTGGGGGACAATTTAATAACGGAGCTCGGACGCGAACGGCTTGTCAACCGGGAAATCCTAAGTTCACAGTTCGTGAATCGAAACTATCATTTACAGAGTGATCGAAAGAATTAGAAATGTCGTGGGATTTCTAGATCTAAGTTATAAAAACAGTACTCTTAGTTGGTTAAGATTCTTTATTTATATAAAAATATAAAATTATAGTTTTAATACCTATACCTTGATTAGTTTGAATTATGAGTGAAAACATTAAAAAATGTTCTTTTGAATTGAGTGGATATTGTTGTATTGAAAACAATTTAATAACTTAAGTTAAACTGGGCTATATATATTTTTACGTCCAACTTAGTATATCTAAATAACTTCGTTGAAACTATTCATGACTCGGCCCGCTAAACACTCAATACTTAAGAATATAGAACCTAAAAGTTTTATAGAGAAAACTCGAAGGAATTATCTCTCATATTCTTGTCACGATCCCTCCATTCGACTTACGAATTTCCTCTAAATTGTTCTTCTGTTTATCTTTTAGTCTCAGTTTGTTCAGGCATTTACACTCCTACCAAGCAATTTCTTACCGCCTTTACTTACCTGACATACATTTTTATTCATATTTTAATTTCAAGGATGAAGAAAATTTAAAGGTCGAACAGGATTTATATATACTTACCGATGACAACGCCATCCACACTCGGCCCAAATGCGTATGAGAAGTCTGGTGCCTGTATGGGAGCAGATAGAAGGGTTTCTAATGGCCTCTCTCGTAAACATCGGAGCACGTCGGGTGGAGTACGTTCTATAAAACAAATCTTTTGTTACTGATGTGATTTTATTTAATGTATATAAGAATATAATCAAATCTTACCAGGAGGGCATTTGGCGTGATTTGCAACTATATCTGCATATTTATTCGGATCGGCTACTAAAGACCACGGACTTAGTCCTGATCCTGACATTAAAATGGCCCTATGGAATAATAGACCTGAAATAATTAGAGATGTGAGCAATTATTTACAGTCCTATGTTTTCCATACTAACATATGATTTAATAATTATATTCAAAGTATCTTAAACAAGTTTAAGTATCGATGTCGTTTAAGTAATTGTGAAGGTGGTTAATAAAGTTTTGCGTGGAAACATCTGTTGCTGACGTAACTTCCGACTACAAAGTACACACTTATTTGCAGACAAAGCGAACCTGAAATTTCAGTGTAAAATCCAGTGAAGAAATTGAACTTTCTTCGAGAGTTACCTTTTATTTGTCAAGTCAAAGAGCTGACCTATCAAAGCTAACTTGATCATATTAAGTTTTTTTTGTAGTTAAATATAACATGAAGATATTTTTTCTTGAAAAATTTGAAATTATTATCTGAAATGTAAATTAAACGTTTCATTGGTTTCCGATACAAGTTTGTCTATTATATGTTGCGGTTTACTATAACAAATGAAAATATGTTCTCAACTACAAGCTATGAACAATTATTTCCTCGTTAAAAGGTTAAATTTCAGGATATAAAAACAGACATTACGTCCATATATTAATTAAATTAAGTTTAAATTGCAGGCAATTACTTGTTTATAGTAATTTATTTTTAAATGTAAAACACTATGCCGTTGATTCAGTTAGTTTTTGTATACAAAAATAATCTCTTTAAGTGAAGCAGCAGCAGAATTTTCTTTAAATTCATTCTTGATGTAAGTCAATTATATCTAAAGTAGATATCTTGTCTGGTATGTAATTTTTAATATCCGCAATGCGGGTATTTCATAATAGCCTCAACACTGCTTAAGTAGGCTAATTATGCTCTTAAAAATGTACTAGTTCTTATGTTCCTACGAACCTATCGTTAACTATTCAAAGGACTGTGGATGGGTGTTTCCGTTGCGGATTTTAAAACGACACAAAGTTAAATATAAGGCGCAGTACTCGTAGGTAACATTCAGGTATATTCATCCAGATTTTTATTCAAAATATACATATATGTACCTGTTATATACATATAGTTTCTTGTTGACTCTCTTTCTTTATATGAATAATTAAGAACGTTTTTAAAAGAAAAAAATTAGTAACTCTCCATGAAGAAGCAGTATAAAAAACCTGTTTTATATTTGTAGCTCGTAAGTACATTGATTTTAATAAAGATTTTTCTGATAATATTTTAAATAATTCTTCGTTATAAATGATTGTGCGTTTAATTAACTTATACATACTGAAATGGAAAGATATCCGGTTACATTGATGAAATTGGCGTATGTTTCATCAAGCAAAAAGTTAATCTCAAAACCCAAATAAAACAAAAGTTACAACAAAAATCAACGAGAAACTCATTAAATTCCAAGCCCATTAGCCTTTTAACAATATTGTTAAAACTGAACTATTAGCACAGTGTTTTACAAAAAGTCCATCCCACTCGTTTTATATAACAAAGCAAATAAATCACGTTCCATTTATGTTTTGTCGTGAAATAATATTCGCTTACTAGTTCCGATAGTTTCAGCACAGATCTGACATCGACAAATGGAATAGGACAAAGAAAATAGACAGAATAAAAAGTATGCGTTCTGTTTGCTTCTAGAATTATTTTCTATCTGTTTTGCAATCAGTTTCATGACGTGCTATTGTTATAAAAGTTGTAACGCACTTAATTCGTTATATAAGTAATAGAATACTTTAGTCAGATGGACCAAAACCAGTACCTAGTACTACATATAAATGTTAAACTTTCTAGAATGTATGGATTTATGAATATATTTGTAAGTAGGATTCTGATTAAACTTTATAATGAGGTGGCTATAAAATCAGAATAATTATTAGAATAATTTATTCCAAAATCAAGGTATAAAGGTAGTATTGTATATGAAGACAAGTGACACAGACCATAGATGTCGCTTCTGGTTGGTGGCCAAATCTATTGTTTTCATACTTTTTATACATTTCTCTATAAATTATTTCGAAGCCGCATTCAAAAACTAGTACTTATATAATAAAAAAATTACGTCACCTCTTTCATCATCTACTTTAAAATCGAATACTGTTGGACTTTTGAAATATATACAATTTTAACTTTTCTAATATTGTTTTTGATTTTTATAGTAATATATAATTTTAAGTACTATAGTTAAAATCCTGAATATTTTTTATACAATAGAATACAAAGTAATCTAGCAGGCTAAGAATATTTTTGATCGTAAATTTCAAAATTCTATAAAGATTTTCATAGAGTTGACTGCTTTTAGTTTATTGTTTAGAAAATTGGCATGTCCATTACAAAATTCGGTGCAGAGAGTATTCAAGAGCTTGTGCTGTTTATACTACAAAATGTATAAAACTTTAAAGTGAATAAATAACAATGATTTTTTATAACTAGCTTAGATTTACTTTTTTCAATTTTGTTCCCAGATACGAGTTATTTTTATTTTATTATCACCGAAATAGACATATTTTACACAATAAAAAAATTGAATATGTCTAAGTAAGTGTTTTTTCCTGTTTCTTTCCGGAAATGGACAGGTTTCACCACAAAATAGTCATTTTAAATTGTATTCGCTACAAAATACATGTTAGTGACAGCACTAATAGTTTCGTATTCATCTCCCAACTCGAAGAATGACGATCTTTTTACCTCGCCCCGATTTCTTTTTACCAAATCTAAACTTACGACGAGTATAAAGCCATGACGCACTGTGCGAATCATTAATCGTCTAATGTGTTTTGGCCCTAACGTCTCAGAGAGGCCTATTAATTGTAAAAGGATTTTAATGTAAAATAGAATTGCTAAGCCTATAATTGTTTAACAGAATCATGCCGTTTCATCTGTACCTTATTTGGTAAATTCCTGCTAATGTTCCATTAATGGGATAAGCCTTACCTTGTAATGGTAAGGGTGAAATGTTATTTGTTAATAGCCCATATTTATCCGGCTATTGAAATTATTAAAATGTATGAAAAGGTTTGAAAAGGCAGGCTTACAACTGATATCACATATAAAATATCCAACGAATAAAGGTTTTTATTTCCATATAGCTTCTACATAATTTTAATCCACTTACATAAACGTATTCTAATAAATTGACGTGAAACAACATTTTCAAAAGTATTCTCTTATACAAACGATCTCATTTATTCTCCGGAAAGCAGAGGGCTCACCATTGTGCTATTTTGGGAATATGACAAGGAATTCGTGTAAGCTCGGTAATATTAATTAAAGTTTACGTTGAGGCATTGCAAAGGCATATGCAGAACATAAATGATATGACAGAAATACACCGTCTTGATAACACATAATGAGGGCGTGTAACATAATTATGTATACAGGCTTATTTTGATTTTTGTGCTGATAATATGGTGTATTTTATTGTAATGTAGATAAAGTTATAAAAATCACAACATCTCACTTTTAAAGTATCAATTTAATATCATAATAATGAAACAAAGAGAAAGCTATAAAAGTTAATGATAAATGAGAATTCATTTTATCATACTTAGATAAATACTGTCAGAAAGTTTTTAGCAATTTCTCATGTAAAAGTACAGGTTCCTTTATTATTCGTCCGTATAAGTTCGTATATTATTTACAAAAAAAAAATTAAACTTGAACTACGATATATTAACCTTCTTTTCTTCATCCAACTCGCATTCAAAATGTAGAAACGTAGTACGAAGCTGAAATTGCTTTTCTACAGTGCAATATTTCTTTTATGATTCACTGCTTTCTGAGTATTCATAACAGTTAATCTAGGTCTTAAACTGAGCTACGTTAGTACTATATAAATATGTACATATAATAAAGGAATTTGAAAATTGTTTAGGTTATTTTAGTATATTAATTAAAAATTATAATATTAAAGTACTATGTACATATATGAATAATATGATCGCATCCAAGCTTTTTGTTTCGTAATAAACAAAAATATTTCAAGGATAATGTGTATACTTGAGTTATACAACCAAGATATAAGCGTTTATCTGGAGAGAAATTGTGTCATATTTACAAAGACAAACAACTTGAATAAGCCAATATCGTGGAGTCAGTTTACATAGGACTGTTAGTTAATGTACATATTGACGATAAAAGTAGGGTTGGTAACAATGACCTCAGTGTTGCTACGAAACAGCCGAGTCAGTGTGGATTTGGGAATTAGATCCCCAAATCTGTGTTTATTCTATGGCTTTGGGATGCTCCACTTAGTAATCAAATAATTTATGGTCATAGTTCAAGTCTACTATCTCTCAAATATTGGCGCAGCATGATATTAATTAAAAACCGTACACTCGCTTAAAGCTAATGACTTTTATATAACAACAGCATTATGCTTATACCTTCAGGCACAGCAAGCGAGGTAAGCAGGAAATGAACACACGCAGCGCCCGTCCCGTGTCCCATGAGAGTCACATTAGTGGGATCGCCTCCAAATACGGCCACGTTCTCTTTGATCCAGTGCAGAGCTGCTATCTGGTCCATTAAACCGTAGTTGGCGGGAGCACGTGGGTAGTCATCTGAACGAGGGTTGAGAAAACCTGCAAGTAATACTCTTTTTATACGTCATAAAAATTAAGTACCAACATTTCTGGTAATCTTGTACATATTGGTTGTCAAATTTGTGTTCTCTATATTGCAAAACCTAAAATAGATCGTTTATTTCACAATTGAACTGAAATAATATTCAAAGAGATATAATAACTGTGAACAATCTATTTATCTTAACCGAACCGTGGATTTTGAAACTTCAGTAGAATCTGTATTAGAATAAATTATCAAATTGCATCGTTGATACCAACCGTCTCAACCCGAACAAAACTGAACCGAAATCTCAACCCGTGCAATAATAAACTTTGGGAAAGCGAACGATTACGCAAACGACTCTCGAAACGTTTAGATTAACGTTAACCCCTGTTTGTAAAGAAAGGAAGCGAAACATCTGGCAGACGAAGTTTTTGCTGATTATGACTTAGTAAATAATAACATTCTGTTATATCTAATGTATATAACATTTTTTCATAATATAGTGCCTTTACTTACGTAGAAAAGGTTACAAAAGATAAGTAAAATATGTTTAATTTTTTTCTTAACAGATATTAATTCAGAGTACATTTCTCTTTATATAGGACTTCCATTTAATTTTGCAAAGGCGTACCCGGTTAGACAATTAATTACCATAACAATGATAGGATAACAGCGCTGTAATGAGTTCTTCAGAAGCAATCCTTTTGAATATAAAACGGATTTACCGGTGACATAAACGAATTAATACTTCGCGGAGAAGGGGATTTATTGGCGTATATTCTGATTTGCTTTACATTCTTTATATTCCTTAGACTTGTTTTATTATAACTTTCTTAAATATACGACAAAACAATAATGTTTTAAAATAATTTACCGTTTTTATCCGAAATTTTAATGCATTTTGTTCACATATCGTTGCAAAACACCTAAATGGATTTTGATAAAATGAAAAGGTAACTACAAAAATTTATATTTTAATTTAAATTTGAAATAAATTTATGATAGGTGTATGACCAGAAATTTTAAGCAAGAAATGAAAGAAAAATCTAGTAGCCTCTTTAAATAAGACTTGTGTGATGTGTGTGTGTGTGATTAAGATGTTTGCAATATTACAGAAACGTGTATCACAATTTTTTTAAACCAGCCAAGAGTTTGCTTGCAAATATTTTTATATAAGTGCTACTAGAAATACTCTCTTAGATTTATCTTTTCAGAAAATGTTCTAACATGAGAAAAATACACCACTACCGAGCATTCTTTGTTAAATAACGTTCCATGTAAACGTTGTTTTAAACAACTTCCTAACTGGCATCCTTTTGATGACATAAACGGTAAACTTATATCAAAATTTCAGGTAACTTTGTTGATGGAAGCGTGGTTGCGGAGAATGCGGTGAATTCTCATCTTAACCTTTAGTTCGTACAAATACCTAGAATATGTTTCAAACAGTTGCGTTTGTGAGAATATTATAAAGATATTAAAATTCTTAGACTGAAATCAGGAAGCGAAACTTACATATTTAATTTTCATCTCATCTGCCGTACGACATAAAAAAGTGAGAAATATATATTTTTTTATTTATATGTTTTGTTTTATAAATTAATATCAAATACTTCTCATCTATCTTTGTATCCCTAAAAATAAAAGTACAATTTCTCTTTTATAAGAGTTACTTCAGTTCACCGGAAGGATATCAAATTACTCGGTAAACGAAAGAATAGCTTTTTGTAATAAAAATGTTTTTTCAAAAGATTTTTATTGAAGAAATGTAATTATTATTTCGCTCCAAAAATGTACACTCTTAAATAATATGAGGCAAATTGATTAAGCTATAAAGAAAAGGAAAGTTAAAGTGAAAATATTCAATTAATACTCACGAATAAATACGAATTTTGTAGTAAAATTGTTTTGGAAACTTTATCAAATATAACGGGTAACATTGTTAATATTCATGGCTTCGATGAAATTCCATTTCTTGGAAATTGAAAGCCAATTTGTAACTTGAATCAACTTTAAACATTCGAACTCTTAATCGTTATCAATTAGAGCTAATCATTAAATCACCGATGTTTGGTTCTCACACTCAATGTACTTTGAATTTACAAAGAAAAAGGTTTTTACGGGATACGAAGACATTATATGATAAAAATGTTTATGATCTTTTATTCAATCAATATTAAAAGCTGTATTGTCTTATCAATAAAATAATATTATTAAGAAAAAAATCAATTTCATAAATTTGCAACAATGATATTAAAAACTCCTATTAATACCGGTTGAATAAGTTGTATACATTTTAGCCTCCTAAACTACAATTCTATCTCTTAAAAACAATTATTCAGACTGCAAAACTTTTAAGAAACTAGGCTTTAAAAAGATCTATATTTTTATCACTACACATTTTTTTTAACTATCACAATAATAAAATACCATCATTATTTATTAAAACATGTAATTGATGTGACAAATTTGGATTACATCATAAATCTTTTATCAAAGAACATTGAGCAGTATTTTCTTTGATATTTTATTAAAAGGCCTGCTAAAACGTACACATTTTGCATTGCACGCAATTAAACACATACGTGTAATAAAACAAGCGCACATCCCCATGATGATAATCTCAATAGCACCAGGTTATGATGCTGAAACACGCGATACTGTTATTATAGGTCGTGTGATTGGGACGTGGAATGATATTGTGTCTATCAGCGGTTTGGAATCGCATTGTAAGTTTTTGCGTATAGCATTCGTTAAATATAGTCTTTTAGACAGTAATGGATTTTCTTTGACCTATTTACTTTGGATCCACATTTGTAGCCATCCATATTGGTTTGACGTTTGTTTTATTAAAATAAGTACTCTGAGTTTACTATAAAATTAAAAAATACATACATAGTTATAACAATAATTATTGTTGATAAATATTACTTTCCGTGGTTCATTGCTATCACATATCACTCATACCTATGTATAAAATTGTGGTTGTAGATGAAAAATTTATTAAATTTATATATATACAAGTTTTGTAACTTTACTAACTTTAACTTTACTTTAACTTGAGTTACTACTTAAAATTTATTTAACAAATTTTTTTCCGAATATAATTGAATATTTATTAAGAATAAATTGCTTAAGCAACTTAAAATAAACACGTGATTATAAGAACAAAGGCACAGACCAACCGTTAATAATGTAACTGAATGTAAACTTAATAATCTAACTCTATAGAATGAAAGTGTAACTGTGCCAGAATATTAAGTAATAAAAACTTGATGGTATACAAATGGTAAAAATATAACAAAAAAACGTGTGGAATTTAATATTTATAGATATTACGAGCAATCAAATAGATACGTGTGTATGTGTGCAAAATATACTTCAAACCACAATTAATGGTTAATATTCCTATTTAACCGTCATACTGCTTACTTACAATCGGAGCACATACACAAATATTTTGCTCCTAATTGGTAAACAAACAAACACAGATAAAAGCAAAAGTTAAATAACTCCCTACTAATAACTGAGTAGGTTCTATGTCATGTAATATCTTCTTCTACCTGGCAATTTCCCAGCTATAGCCAGGGTCTGCCTTACATGTTGTGAATAGTTTTAGCTATTTGTTTTTACGACCGGCCGCCTGCCTGACATCAACTCTCTTTTTTGGGAATCAACATTAATCAGTGATATCTAAATAGTCTTAGAAAGTACATATGACTCGGGAAAATCACATTGGTACTTGCCCGGGCCAGGATCGAACCCGCGCCCTCGGCAACGAGAGGCGGGCCCTTTAACCACTAGGCCACCACTGACTAATATGTCATGTCATATATCGTAAAAAAATTATATAATGTATAAATATAGTACGTCGTTTTGCATTTGTGTGCTTAAGTGTTTCAATATGTTAAATTATTTACCTAAAATTCCCAATCTGTAATTAATGGTAACAACCACAAGGCCGGCGTGTGAGGAGAGAACGGTGCCGTCGTATGGATTACCAGAACTCCATTCATAACTCTCTCCATGCACGAACACCAGGACTGGATATCTTGCTACCGCATCCCTTACACCTGCTGATAAAGAAAACTTTCAATTAATATAAAAATAAACGTATGAAATTTTAATAAATATATAAAAATGTTTGGAACTCTCTCTTTGTTCAACCAAATTCTTTATGCTCAATCTCCGAAAATTTTCGGCCAAAATGGTTGCTACGAGATGCATAGCCTTGCTTTTATAACAATTATCTTTTTATTAAAAAAACATTTCAACTTTCGACATTATTACAATTTTTTTTAAATATATTTAATTATTTTCATGTATCCAAGATCTGTCTCACTGTTAATGTAACGAGTTCTCAAGTGTTCAATAGAATAAGTTGCGCACTTGTAATTACCCTTTCAACTCCTTAACAGAAACACAACTATGCACTTAACGTCGAATAAGTGGTGGCATTCCGAAAATTTATGTATCAATACTATTAAGATGAAATTTATTAGAATAAAATGTTATTTCCTAAACGAGCATTTTATGATGAAAATAGTCTTAAAGGCATAATTACAACATATCAAGCCCTTATTTGTTTATAAGTTACTCCTAATTTGAACCCATTATTTGTAAAAATTCAGTAGTTTTTTAACGTACAAACTAAGATTTTATACTTAAAAAAAATGTCCCTATTTTGACTACTGTCCATAAACAAGGCAAACTACGCGATGAACGTCTGAGTAGTATTAAGGGACAAAAACACTCATTGCCTCTTCATCGCATTAATAAGGATATGTATCCAAACTAAATCACTTCAGCAATGACATACGATATAAAAAGAAAATGGAAGGCATATGACGCCATTTCGTTAAATGGGGGCTTTAATAAAATCGCCAACGGCCATCACTGGAGGTCAGTTTTTACACTTTATCTTAGTTTATATCCCGTAGCTTTAATACTTAATCTAGGAAAATGGACGCTCGTTTACAGACGATGTATATTAACTTAAAATATCAAATATCTAACAATATTATTTACTTTTATGTCCGCTGTTATTTTGTAAGAATATTGTATTAATTTTATTATCTTTTTATGTGCTCGTTACCGTTTTTATAACACATAGGTACAAATCTTATTTTATTTCGACTGTTACATTTTGATGACATGTCACGGTTAAATATAATGTTACGTAATACAATATCTTCTTTAATTTAGAAAGAAAAATTGCCGTTGTAATAAATAAAATATGTTTTTATTTCTAATGCATTGTTCTTCGAAATAAAGAAAGTAATAAACATTTGGCAATAAAACTATCCGTAAAATATTACGAACAAAACTTACAGCACTCAAACTAATATGTGGACATTTATTGGAGAAGTCATATGCTCTAATATTGTTATCTATATATTAAATGATACATCTAAATTGGCTTTGAGTGGTTGTATAGACGCTTCAAACTTATATGATATTCTAACCTTTCAGGGAAAGTTGTATGTTAATACTCTGTTACTCTTTTGTTTTTCAATAATCCTGAAATGAGTTTGTATCGGGAAAATGAATTCTAGTTCTGATTTTAATTAGAATAGAATATAAAATTAATTCATCTTCTATTTTAAAACCGATGTCATGTTGTTTAGAAATCGACATCACTATTTTCTTGTTCGTATAATTTTAGATAGTATTGTGAATGTCAAAAAAGTCAATGGTGGCCTAGTAAAAAAGTCAGTGGTGGCCTAGTGGTGAAAGGGCCCGCCTCCCGTTGCCGAGGGCGCGGGTTCGATCCTGGCCCTGGCAAGTACCCATGTGATTTTTTGGAGTCATATGTACTTTCTGAGAGTTTTTAGACATCACTGACATACGGTGAAGGAAAATATCGTGAGGAAACCTGGACTTATAGTTTCACAATTATAAGTTTGAAATCACCAACCCGTCTTGAGCAAGCGTGGTGATTAATGCTCAAACCATCTCCATGTGAGAAAGAAGCCTTGCTCAGCAGTGGGCTTCTGATATGCTGATGACATTGTGAATGATATATTTTTTAAATAAAAACTAAGTATCCAACGATCTGAAAAATTTTAAATAAGTATTTTATATTCCTTTTAATCTCGGTGAATTTAAAATGCCGTAGGTATTTTTAAGCAATTATTTTATTAAATTGCTCGACGAGCGCCAACCCAAAACTTAATTATTACGTGGCAGTAGACTTAAATAATAACCCTGTATTTAAGTCTGATTTTAATTATAAAATGAGGCTTTTATATGTTTTATTATCTTTTGTTTTCAAAGTTTTGTAAGTTATTGAAATACTATCATTAAATTTTCTGTTCTTTAATAAAATTAAGAAAAGTAGTATGAGAATAGTAGTCTTGATTCTTATTTTGTTTCAGTAAGAGATAAAAATAAGATTAAACGTCTGTTAATAATAATGTAAATAGTAAAAATGGTAAGTTACTTATTATGATGCGTCTCCAATTTAATCAGTTTAGGCGTCGGTTAGTGAACCTGAAAATACTAATAAGAACGAGATATGTTTGCAATGTTTGTAATTCATAAACATTTAATTTATCACCAATATTTTTTTCAATTTCATTTCTTGAGCAATAAGCGTTCAAAATAAACAAATTACAAAAAGCCAATGTGAATGTATCTAATAGTGTAAGCATTAAGCGTACTTCTTACTTTCACTATCTGAAATGTTTGCACGATTCGGACCACAATTGCCAAGTAATATCAATATATTACTTTTACGAGCTCAGTGAGACCAATAACAATGTCAAGCGGTCACTCGATGTGTCTTTAAGAGGCTTATGTATAAGAAATTATATAAAGAAGTTTATTATGTTTACCGAAGCCCTTCGTTTCTTGATAAATTTCTTTATTGTGGCTTAATTAACGAAGTCTTTACCTCTATTTTAAACCTCTATTTTTGTTAATAATCTTTTATGCGCTTAATCTAAATCAAAAAAATTGCATTTGAATCTTTCTGTACCATATTCATGAGTCTTAAGTTTTAACCCGTATTTACAGAAAATGTTACGTTACAGATACAAAAAAGTTTTGGTTTAACAAAGTAAATAATATTTACGGTTCAAACACACAAAAAAACATTATTTCTGCAGGTAATTAACAAGAAAATGATGATTAAGCAACGTTTTCAACAAAATTAGCTTCTATTTAAATTGACTTATAAAAGTATTAAGTATTGGAGTGTAAAGGTTCTTTATTTTAAGAAAAAATATCGAAATGTAAAAGGATTCCAAGTTTCGTATCTTCTATTCAAATGCGAAAGGCAACAGAAAGGAAACCTTTGTATCTGCTGCTAAGAATTCGAAAGAGGTGGCTTATCGCCATGATGAATGCTAAGGGTATGGGTTAGGTGAGGCTGATTAAGAAAATGGATGGATTAAATTGCTTCTTTCAATTGCTGATATCCTGGTATCAAAAGTAAGATTTTTTTATGTAAATAAATCTTATTGCTATAATGTACTATGTACGGACGTCAATTTAATAAATGAAGAAAACAATTTTAATGAATGTTCAAATAAAACAATAAAACATTTTAATTAATTTTCGGCTTTTATTGCAAACAAACATTATCATTAATCAGAACTATATTTCGTGCCAAATAGGTCAGTTAATAATATCCAGAGTCAATACAAAGTTTACAGAGCGGAATAAAAACTAACCCAAGGTTTATGATTACGTTGCACCGTATAAATAACAAACCGATCCTAGAAATAACCATGGCTGTAAATCGATATTATTACAGAATTGCAGTTAATTGAAGATCACACAATCTCGTAGTCACTCTTACGATATTATAAAAATGATATCTTAAAACGTGCAAACGTTTTTTTTTTCAGATAAGAGTAGTAATATTTTTTTTTAGTTTTAGGTTTTAGCAAACTTTTATATGAATATTAAAACGTACAAAGCAAACTTCAGGTCATTTGAATTTATTAAACAAAATGTTTTTTCGGGTTATCTTAATCACTAATAATATTGTAATAAAGAAGAAAGAGCCATTTAAATAAATCAGCTAGCATAACATAACATCGTTTAGTATATGTATAATATCTTCATCAATAATCGTTCTCGAATTCATCGAACCTAATCACTTTCAAAATTTCGTGAGAGGAATATTTCAGAGTACGTTGTAACTAATTTTAGCATTTTCAATTCGAATTCTGAATTCGGACCGTCCGGAGCTTTGAGGCCGTGAAACAATTCCGTAATACAGGTAATACGCGGAATGAAACTGGAAGCAAATATGTAAATGCGGCAATTGATTGACGTGTACGAGGGTAGTAATAAATGACCGTTATCTTAAAACATTGTTCGTCTGCGGAATCATTTATAAAGATTTGTGCCTTAACGTGACTAATGTCTTGCAGCGTTCACTTTCTTTAGCAGTCATAAAGGGTTGAAATAATATGAACAACATTTACGAACTCATCCATTTTAGTCTAATGACTAAAAGTCATTAGTCACACGAGTGAAACAAAAGCTCTTTTGGTTAATGTTTAAAAACATATAATGAGTTATCATTTGTTTTAGTATTGTGCATAGAAAGAATTAAATTGGTTGGTTTTAAATGTTTGTTATGTTTTCATGAAATTGAACAAGAGACCTAATTATTATAATAGCAAAAATAATGATAACTTAAAATGATGTATTTTTTAGCTTCCCAATTTTAAATCATCAACTACATAATTAAAACCACTTTATATTATGTTTTATGGTTAAGTTTTTGGTACATCAAAATATGATATCCATATGTATATAAATGAATATATATAATATTTTATTAAACGGTTTCATATTTTCCCATCTATTTATACATATGTTTAAGTTGACGAGTCTTAAAATCCTATCTATACGCATTAAGTCGTATGTTTTGACAAAAGTGCTCTCAAAATATTACAAAGTATGTTTAGATCGTGTAAGTCATAAGCGTTATAACTTATAACGTTGAATATATTCCTTGAACTTCAAAAATATCTTAGTCGCTTTATCTTCAGTATTTATAATTTAATTGTTTCAAGTGTATCAAAAGTTGTTAATAATAAAAAAGCTACACTTTAATGCTGTACCTATTTTTTATTGTTTCCAACTGTTATTTTAAATTCGTTAATTCAAACCGACTTTAAAATAAGAAACTGCTTATAAATAAAAACCACAACATTTCGTAATTTACACCATTCTAAAATATTCCAAAAGAACTACACTGTATACAAAGGCTAACAAAACCGGGCATATTCTGAAAACCTATTCGCGGCATTTTGCAATATCGAAGGCGAGAGCTGCTCATTTTTTTGGAAGCTTTTGTTACCTTTATGAGCGTCTGGTGCATAGAACCTGCTAGTTCTATTGGAAATTTTGTCATCTATCTTTAGTTTTTGACTTAAAGTTATCGCATTGAACCAAAAAAATGGGTTAAACATGGGTCCACCACAACATATAGATAGTATGGTTCTTGGATGTCTAACTTAAAAATTATTGTTACATTAATTGTTCCTAAATTTAAGTTTTTTTCATACCTTGAGTCTTGGTATCTATATAAAAATGATGAACTTTTTAAGGATGTATGGGTCCTTATGTTCATATGTCCGTTCACTCAAATACTATTTTTCCGGATTTGGTTGAAACTAAAGAGTGATGTAACTTAGACGTCAATATAAGACAGGGCTATAAATTTATTAAAGAAATCCATGTATTTTTAGCATAATTATGTTCAATTTTCTATTACGTCCTGTTATTTATCATATCTATTGTTTTAATATATTTCACACATTTCTCTTTGACTATTTCGAAGTTCACGTTGAAATCTACTGTTTACATAAGAATATCTGCAGTTTTTTTTTTTGTGTTTTATTATAATTATAATTTATCGACCCTTATCACAATGTCAAAAAAATATATAGAGAAGAGTAAAGCGAAATAATGACTTATTAACTTTAATAATAATGGTTAACAGTAATAGAATCTTCAAAAATACTGATGATGTTTTCTTTAAGAAACGTGTCATTTAATGTTTATGAAATCTTTGACGAGATTGGTCTTGAAAGAACTCGTGAATATAAAAGTTGGTTGTCAAAGAGCTCGCGAATGTAAAATTATCTATGTTATAATACATTTGTAAACTGATATTACTTAATATTTTAAATCCTTAATTCTAAAGGAAATATTGTAAGTCCTTTATTTTTATTCCATCAAAAGACACCACAAGTTTTGTTCACAAAAATATTAATATTTTCATAATACTATAATAGGTATGTAATATTTTCAATGCAACAAATTATATTTTGATACAACGAACAGCCTGCATGAATTGGAGGCTGTCATCCATTTAATTGTCCCCAAATGGTAGGAATACACAGCAAGTGAAAATCTTAATGTACATTATTATTCCCGCTTTCAGCTTTCAGTAAAATGAATTTGATTTGTCTATAAGACAGAATTGCTTTCGTAAATCGCCAAACATTTAGCCCTTTATAATTTACAAATCAAATTTCTAACAACGTTTATTTAAAGTATTCACATTCAAATTTTAATAACTTCATTCAAATATTTGTCAAGGATTTATCTAAATTATATAATACTTTAGAAATGAAAGTCAGAATTAATTAATATCTATGGGTTTCAAAAAAATACAAAATGTATTGAAAAACACAAAATATATTGAAAAAAATATTATCAGTTATTTAAAAGTTACTCTTTACACTGTATTGCTAGTTTTAATAAAAAGTTATATTTTTTAATTAAAACCTATACCTATAAATAAATAATATATAAAACAATGTATTGAGGCAGATTCTTAATCAGCAATCTCCTGCATTATGTTTAATTTGTTTGAATCTAAATAAAAAATAGAAATGATATACATACTGATAGTAGTTAAATTGTTACATACATCTTTAAGGAGTTGCTTGACAATATTATAGTTAACATGTTTCATTGAAATTCTTATTAGATGAATTATACAAATGTATTTCAATGGCAAAGCGATAACGAAATCATCATGCACCTCTATTGAGAAGAACTTGCAAGGAACTCAACATTTACTCTTAACAATATAGATTATATTTTTAAAAGACAAGATCTCACGGCTTATAATAGATATTCTATACATTAATGTTTTGTCATATATACATTTGTCATATAAATATTATAATGTATTTTTTCTGACTATTATTGAAATTAAACGATAATTAATTATTACTCATAATTAATCACAAGCCTGTTTATTTTTGTTTTATCATAGGTATGTATAAGAAACACAATGGTAATATATTTTTTTTGTGTTGGGTTGTAAAATCCTCATGGAGACCCAGATTCCGGGAAAGACGACAGGGAGTGTCCGACTGTTACTTACTAAAACCAAACCGTATTCCTCATGTACCAGTATGTCAGAGGGGCGAGTATCACCCAAGCATTGGTCGCTACCAGTCTGAAGCGTATTATTCCACCAGATAGTCAGACGGGTCCCGTTACCCACCGCGGCCACTGTGGTAATCATTAAAATAACTAAGTCTATTTTAAATTGTCTCCCTGTGTTGGACGCAATCTCAAAAGTTAAATGATATTGATGTCTTTGGCATTTTTCAAAGTTACATTTAAGAAACCTTTTAATAATAAAACTTTAGTACATCGTAATCATGAAGCGAGTTATGACTATATGTATCGATGTATATGATTTACAGTTTGGGATGAATAAAAAATATATAACGAGGGTCTTCGAATCACTCCTGTATCCCTTAAATGTAATTTAAAAACGTTTTACTCGCCACGCTAGTCATAGATTACTTTTCGCATAACCGTATTTTTCACTGTGAGAGATATTTTAAAACCCCGACGCCAAATAAGGGTGGGATAACATTGACGTAGATATCTGTGTGTGTGTCGATCTCTCGCATCGTCCTTATCAAAATTATCAACCGATAGCGATATGGTTTTTTCAAAAAAAAGTCTCCTTGTGGTGGCTGTAAGTTCTATTTTCAGTTAATATCAGCCCAGTAGTTTAAAAGTATCAGCTATTTTCCAAAATAAAAGAAAGGCATTTTGGGCCTATGGTCACATGTTTAAGTCCCTAACATGTACATGTCCCTAACAAAGTAATTGTTAACTTTATTTATGATTATTAAAAATGTTTTTATTGTAACATTTCACTCGAGAGTGGTATAATGTTCCATACTTTCCAGGATCTGATTTCCCACGATTCCTCAATGGGAATTACTTATATTTTTTAACATTTAACAAAAGACACTTTTTGCAACCTTTTGAATGCTCCCTAAATAAAGGTACCCTCAAAATACTAGTAAAAACACTTTTTCAAATAGAAGATACTAGTTTCATCATAGTATTCATTTTAGTGCAAAAACTTTTAAATAAAGTACGGACCTTAATAATTAGAAAATAGTATTTTCTTCTCATACTAACTCATGAAATGCTTATACAGTAGCTATTATATACTTATCTGGAAACATTATAATTAATGCAACAATCTGTATAGTGTATTTCAAAACGCAATTAATTTCGACTCAACTGTCTACCATATTTACCATATTACATATGTTAAAAAATAATAAATGACATACCAAAAAGACCAAGTAAAAAAAATCCACTTCGAGGAACAGAATATAGCATAAGATATATATTAGCAGAATTGGAAAAACACAAAACTAAGCAGGGCATATAGTTTTAGGTGCTCTGAATGCTAGGATGAGCAATCAGTCAGTCATAGAAAATTGTCAGTGACTTCTCACGATATGGCGTTGAAAGTAATAAAAATGAAAAGATAATTTTGGCAATAGTAATGTCAAAGAATGTTTTATGCAAGATAGATCTATGAATACTATGAAATACGAAAATTTGTGATGATGAATTCTGGATGGATGGAGGAAGGAATAAAAAAATGTTTGTTGTTTTTTTCTAAAAATGTATTCCAAAAGAACGTTGCAGTGATTTAGTTTGGACATAGGAATGAGATGTACCCTGTACCTAGTTACACTAAAATAATGAGTTTGTAAATATTTGTATTTTGTATTACATCACGTGAAGCAGACTGTTAATGTCTCGGCCGACTGGTTCCCATATCTGTTGTTTAAGGTCACCACATATTTTGGAAGAAATTTCAGTTATAACTAGTAGTAAATTATAAATTATAATCGACATATGAAATCCGCTGTTATTATCAATATTCATATGTGATATTATAAATACTATCAATGTATACCCCAAAAGTGACTTTAATATTTAAAATATAAGTGAAATAAATGTTATTTTTTTTAATAATTTATAAATAGGGTACCAACCTTGCGCTGGAGCATAGATATTTAAATAAAGGCAGTCTTCTGATTGATTCGTCAAAAAAGGTAATATTTTTTTCAAATATTCTAGCCTTCCTTTAGATATTCTTTTTAAGACGGCAGTCTCATTTCTTATGTCAGGAAGAATTTGTGGACAAACTGGACTAAATTCTTCGGTTATCTTAACTCCGGACCACTGAGCTCCAGTTACAGGAGGCATAAATCTTAAATTACCGACTGGTGGTGATGCATATGGGATACCTCGAAAAACTTCTACTGGTTCAAGGAATCTTGATTCTGGTGTGACGATAAAACCTCTGATGTCTCCATATTTTGTTCTAACAACTCTTGAGCTAATAAGTGGTACGTTTTTGTCTTCCATTGTGGTCTCTCCTCTGACAGTTCTCGAAGTCAGTACTGGGAGTGTGATGAATTGGACTATAATCAGTATTAACATTTTTCCGCTTCCACCACCACCGCTTAAGGTAGAGTACGTTAGCTAGTACTATAAATCGACCATTTTGTTTCATGTAACTTTTCCCCCACACCATTTACCACGTTATCTGTAACAAAGAATTGTCTTTAAATATTTTGAATATTGACATAAGTATCAGCGTTAGTTATATTTTATATGATTATAATAATTGATACAAAATAATTTTTATCATAGCGCATTAATATTAAATTTTTTGGATAAATTAATAGTCAGTTAACAGTCAACAACGCGTTACATTTACAGTAGATGTACGCATGCTTTTTGATGAATGCTTACACTCTCACTTCAGCCTCTTGTTGTGGTTAATTTAAAATATTTAAAAAGTTAATACAAGGTAACGAATTTGACAAAGGTAATATGGTAAAAATATGTTGTACTCAAAGAGTATTCGGCTTTTGCATGCATTTCTGAAACATTTCAACCATCATGTTGTGACCCACTTTATGTCAAATTGCTTTCGAAATACATGGCATGTAGGTGGGTCTTGTTTCCGCGTTTCAACCTCGAAACGAAAATGTAGAATTTGAAATAACATAAAACTGTCAACGGCATATTGAGGCCGAATGAATGTTTCAAAGCATATGTTTGATATTTAATGTAAAAGTCGTAGAATAAACAACATTTCTAACAGAAGCATTTGATTTTTATACATTGTTATTAGCAAAGTTGCATAGAAGTTGAACAAACAACTACTCTTTCATATATAAATTCTATGTAGTTGGACAAACAATGTAGTTCTCTAGTTTCTTTAGAAAGTTCTGCCTACCCATTAGTTAACTTGTGAAGGGAAGCTTGGATAAATGATTTTTTTAACTGCCAACTGTATTTAATCCAAGAATATACAAAACGACAAAAAACATTTTCTTTAATTGGTAAAATAAATTATTATTGTTAGTTAAATTTAGTACAAAAATATGTTAAATTTATTGTATTCTTTAGATATATGAAGAAATAAGAGCAAGTCTGACAGACTATACTATTATTATTTATTTACCCCAAACGATTTCGATTAGAAACCTGACAAGAGGCCGATAAAAGACTTTATTTTGCGAGTTTCCAAATACATTTAAGCTTATTTTATAATTGGAAAGCTTCTGTTTATTCTAATAAAATCGAGTTTGCTCAAACAACTAGCTAAGCCTGTTTACATCATTAATTTTGATTACCTTTTATTAAACTTTAATAATAACTCTAGTCTTAAAATATAATGTTCATTATTATTACTTTCATTAAAACATTTGTTTTTTTAAATTAAACTAATATTTTCGGATTTGCTACGCGATTTTTTAATTTCGACTATAAGCTACATACTACATTCTAAAAATAACAAAATTCATTAATTTAAAAATTAATGGACAAACTTATATGTAGTTAGAAATAGCAACGGCAATAATTCTAATATTAATTTTAGTCGGGCAACACAGTCAACCGGTGACTGTTGTCAATCTGTCAAAGCAAAGTTTAGAAAAACAAACCGTTGCTTAAAAAAGGATTGAATTTTGCACCTGTACCATCAAAATTACCGGTCGAAGACATTATCTGTAACGTTGAAGAATGTCTTTATAAGAATCAGGTCACGAAAGAAGAGTCTGAAGCAATCTGACAGGACTTATCATATTATGTTCTGCGCCGGAGCAAATCGCCTCGACAAAACATCTCGTCAGGAATCACTTGCACTTAAACACCTTCACAACAATGAAGACCTGATTGTCTTCCGTGCAGGTAAAGGGAACGCGACCGCAGTAATGGTTACGAGTGATTATGATGGTAAAATAATTGAAATTCTTTCGGATAATTCTGTTTATAAAAAAAATAATAAAGACCCGACAAGTAAAGTTTTAACGTAAACAAAACAATTAATTAATAAATACAGTTCTAAACCTAATCTGGATATCAAATCACTCGTACTATTGCGTTCAAAACCACCGAAATTGTATGGGTTACCTAAAATTCATAAACAAGATGTTCCCTTACACCCAATTGTAAGCCAGATTGATTCACCAACTTATAAACATGCTAAATTCCTTTCAAAGATATTATCACCACTCCGGGGCCACACAAAGTCATTTGTTAATGATTCCTACCAATTTGTCAATAATATTAAACACCTAAAATTGACAAATAATGATATTATGGTCAGTTTCGATTTACAGTCATTATTCACTACTCTACCTGTTCTTGACTGCATTGAGATTGTAAGAGGTAAGTTAAAGGATAAAAATTGCCTATTGAATTTGCAGAACTGTTAAAGCATTGCCTACCATCTGGCTATCTCATGTGGAAGGATGAATTCTACATACAAGTAGATGGAGTAGCAATGGGTTTGCCGGTTTCCCCTGTTGTCGCAGTTATACTCATGGAAGACTTTGAGGTGCTCCAAAAAGACTGTTATTTTATAAACGGTATGTAGATGATACCTCCACAATATTAAATAATAACAAAACATCTGCTTTCCTGAACCATCTTATTTCTATCTATATTCTATAAGTTAGAGGCAAATAATTCTTTAGCTTTCCTTGATATACTTGTCATCAGGAATCCTGACAATAATTTGGGACATACTGTTTATAGGAAACCCACACATACAGATAGGTATCACACAACTACCCTATACAGTTAGCTACCATTGGCAAATCTTTGTTACAGAGAGCACAAAACCTTTGTGATGCTGACCACCTAGAGGCCAAGCTGCAGCATGTTAAACATGCTCTGACCATAAACAGCCTGCCCGTGCCTCGCCAGCATCGCAAGAACCAGATGAAGCCACCTGCAGTTGAGCGACAACCTGCAATTTTACCATATGTGAAGGGAGTAACTGACAGAATAAGCAACATCTTGAAGAAGGTTTCAATCAAGACTATTTATAAACCACATAAGAAAGTGAGCCAATTCTTGAGACCAATCAAGAGTAATATTCCTTTACAACAAGCGGGTGTATATCAACTTGATTGTGACTGTGGCTTGTCATACATCAGACAGACAAAAAGAAGCATCGGTACAAGGGTTAAGGAACACATTTCAGACGTCAGGAATAGGCGCGCGTCGAAGTCAGCAGTGTGTGAACATGCATTGGACCAACCAGGCCATAATATGTAGTATTTAGTTTATAGTCGAAAATAAAATATCGCGTAGTAAATCCGAAAATATTAGTTTCATTTAAATGAGTACTCTCGAAAATGTCAGATCTCATTATTTGTTTCTTTATTTTGAAAGAAATTAAATAGGTACTAAATATTTCTTTATTTATAAAAGTGGTATTTACTTTTGGACATTCTTTATGAGATTGGTTTAATGTCTAAAACTTAATATTTTTTTAAGTTTCTTATAAAGTAAACGAAACTAAGTCTCCTTGGACTATTTATTAATAGTGTCATGGATATTTACGTCATCGATATGTACCTAAATAAAAAAAAAACATTGATTCGTTTTGTCAAATACAACCTAAAATAAAGAGGTTACAATGTCAAGTACAATTCACCTTACTACCGCGAAGTATACAAAACTGTACTATTTATCGTGGAAACTATGTGACGCAGTGACAAAGTGTTTTGAGTAAAATTGTTTTTAAAATACTTTACAAACTTTTAACGTTACATTATTCATACGAGAACTTCTGTTTGTTTCAGTTCTTCTCCATTGACGTTTTTCTGTTTTTAAGACTGTAATTAAATGAATTGAAGATATCTATACTGATAACTAAGAGAACCTTATACAAGCACATATGTAGAGATAACTCAAATATCTCAAGTTATTGGCGTAATAAATTTAAGACAGATAAACATAGATGTCGTAAAATGTTACAAAGGAGCTCGAAGGCGGGTATAAAGATAACTCGAATATTTATTGTATGGACAAACAAACAAAACATCAAATACATTACATTTGGTCTTTTGGGTTGAATGCCAACATCTTGGTTTTAATTTTGCATTGATAACTGAATAAATATATATGTTTTGTTGTTGTTACTATCACCGTCTGTTATTTTAGAATGTTATTATTACTTTTATGTTTCTTATAGAATTACATAAAACTTTTTCATTTTTCCGATTATATTCACATTATTTAATACATTCAGGAATTAAGTATTAAAATGAAAATTATTTTTTCGTTACAAATTTTAAAATATATCAATGTTTGGTTTGCATGTAATGATGGCAAAATTCCAGGTAATATTTTTTCGAAACATATTCACATTAGGGTTAAGCAAATAAAATTTACCTGTACTAAATATACTAGAAAATAAATATTCTTATGATGCATGTATTATGTACATATATTTATCAAGTGAAATATTGAAATAAACGAATAGGTGTTTTTGTAATTTTTTGTTTAGTGCAAGTAATCGAATATAGAATTGATAAACTGTTATATTAAATTAAGTGAAAACACCTACTATTCAATTACGAAAATATAACAATAATTATTAATTACCTATTATACCTACGTACTTCGTTAATTAAATTACACCACAAATTGATGAAAGTTGTTCTATTTGGATCTCATGGTGTAATTTATTACTGTTATTTATTTTTGTCAATATATTTATATACGCCATAGTAAAGTTATACATAAATTTTAGTAATTTGAAATACAATTGAAATAAATAAATACTCGCGAAAGTCTTAGAACTCAATAAAATACAAATATTCTAAAGTAAAACTATAGCCTCTGGCCGCAATTTCTTATTCGCTGAATTGCAATTTATACACTTCAATACATACAGTATTCCATATAGCTGGTTGTCTTCCCAAGAGTCCTATCCATTTTTGTGCCAAATTCATCAAAATTACTTCTGAGGCTTAGTTGTAAAAAGTAATGTAAGTAAATAGTCTACCTATGAAATAATAAATATTTTATAGGTGGTAGACTCTAGCTCTTGGCAAGTAACTACAGCTCTAATATGAGCGGGCTCGAACGGGCAAGAATCATCCTATCACAGAAGATCGGCGTGAAGAAGTCTT